GCTGTCCTAATGTGATATCGGCTGTTGATGCTCTGTAGGAACAAGAGAGAATGAGGAATTCTGGTAATTCACCAGGCATGAGGCCATTTCATACTCGATTTTACCAAGTGCTAATACAACACAGCACAAAAAACAAGTTATCTTCTGCATTTCATTAGTTGATTCCAATGGGCTTTTCCTGTGTCTGTCTTTACAAATAGTATTGAACAGAAATATAGGAGTGAGCCAAGTGACTCATTTGCTGAAGGCAAGTTCTTAATTTTCTGGTTTCTAAACTGTGAATCAGTCTCCTGGAGGATCCAAGTGTTAATTTGGGATACCAGTTTACATATCCCGCTGTGATGTAGCTCCCTCCAGTTCCAGTTCTACAGAGGAAGGGGACAAGGAAAAAGTCCTCTTCTGATAAGAGGCAGGATGGTCAGTGAGCTTCTTGTGGCATAATAATGCCAAGAACCCCGCTGAAGACTGATCCTACAAGGCACTGGTTTTTTAAAATATGAAGTTTGCTAAATTCCCACAAAAGATAGAGCTGCTCTGTACATTACAGCAATATTATTTACCAGACAATATAAAATAAACAAATTAGTTGCTTTGATACTTTTAGCCCCACTCCCACAGCCTCTCTCATCTATTTGGGAGCTGTGAAGCAGCGGCTCTGTGACCTGCAGTCATAGCTGCATCCCGCTGATGGCAAGGAGCACATGGACGCACACAGCATTTCACACGTTTCACTCCTCCCTTTCTTTTTTTTTCCATATTGCAGAAAGTTAGGTTAGTGAGTCAAAGAACTGCCTTTAGTTCTGTTAATTGATATTAATGGGGAAAAGCAGGGCTGGACAATGAAAGCCTTTCCTGGCAAGGGAGCTCACGGTCTTCCCACCACTCAGGACAGCAACTTCCAGAGGAAGAAATGAGGCTGTGATTCAATAGTGATTTTAAGCATTTCAGAGCTTGCATCCATTAAGATGTGAGACAGAATTGAATCCTTGTGCCTTTAAGCTGACCCCACATCTGCTTTTTACGAGCTCTGGCCAGAGTCAGCATAGAGCTGCCATGGAGAAAGAGCATGAGCTCCATAAGCAAACACAAAGCGGTGAACCACAGGAATAGACTGAAATCTCCTGCAACTGACAGTTTACCACCCTGGCACCCCCAGAATCACCTCCTTCCCTTGCTTGGAAGGCACTGGAAAGCTGACTACTGGATCATAAAGCACTGCGCCTGTCACCCTGAGCTAAGTACGGTGTAGCAGTTAAAGAGAAGTAGGTGTAAAAGAAATTGTCCTCCCTGTTCTGCCTTTCTGATGTGAACTCGAGGGCATCCCTTCAACCCTCCGTGTTTCCTTCCTCTTCCTCATGTAGGGGCTACAAAGCCTGACAGCAGCTCCAAGAAAGAGGTGACGGCTGTCAAAATCCCTTGGCTGCTCTCGGAGCACAAAGTGCCACGGAGAGGAGCCATGTCTGAACATATCTATTAAATGGCTCTGCCACGAGCTGTATCAGCACTAAATGATTCCAAACTCTGACACACACAAGCAAAACTTCATGGGTTTAATGAGGGTGAGTTAGCACAACACTGTGCAGCACCCCCTGTCTATGCACCGGCTTTAAGTCAAGTCCTTGTCTGCAGAGACATCACTTGTGACAGTCCACAAGAGTGAGCCCAGTGATGGAAGGAAAGTTCCGTTGCCAAAGAGGAAGGTAAAGTTTCTACTAGGTCTACTGCAGGTCACTGCTAATTGGCTGTCTTCTTTATTTTGTGAAAATACCACCAAAATGGATATGAAAAATGCTGACCTCTTCTTTTAAACATTTCAAACTTTGTTGAAAAGCATCTGCTTTTTCATAACGAGTAGTTGCTTGTGTTTGCAATGATGGATAAATTCCCTTCCTGGGAGAACGCCTCTGCGCTTTAGTAAAGATAATACTCCTCTGTTGAGCTCACCAATACCGGGAAAAACTGCAGCAGAAAACACTGACCAAGCACTGCTTCTTTCCACAGGCTTCGGAATCTTGCTGGGCACATGGAGTGTGTAAGTATGGAGATTCTAGACCTGCTTTCTGGCTTTGTCAGGCTTGTGCTGTGACAAAGATGACTGTCTCACAGCCCTCATGCCTGCTCTAAGGACAGGTGTGAGTACTGATGGCAGAAATACAGAGCCCATAGGGCACTGTGGCCATCACAAATAGAGCTCCCCAGCTCTGCACCCAGGGCTGTCAGTCAGCAACTCTCTCTCTCTCTCTGGCAGAGTCAGCCATGTGCATCTCTGCAAAAATGGCCTGTAAAACCAGCAGCACAAGGGCCAGATTTATTGCTACCGAGTGTGTCATCAGTGCTCTAAGCAAACCCCAGAGCAGCTCTAAAGCAATACCACTTATACTAACCCAGACCCTCAGAGAGATTTAATTAATTCAATGAAAAACTTGTGAACGCTTTAAACTTCAGTTAATGACTGTTAACTGTGCAAGACTCAAACCAGCCAGGAGCCCTCCTAGGCGGACACGGTGGCTGAAGGTTCCAACCAGCACTGTGGCCTGAGCTGGGTGTCCCTGTTACAGGGTATTGATACATTCTGCACCAAGATCCCACCGTGTTAGGTACCTCAAGCACACATCCCAGAGCACACAGCAAGGGGTATGGCAGCTGCCAACCACTGGTAGCTTTAACACTGACAGCCTGTGTTCACCCAGCACAGAGAGGGGGAAAATATGGGAAGGCTCTGCAGGCTCAGCAATTACTGTAACCACCCTCATCATCCTCAGACCTGGCTGAAGTTTCGCTTGTGAATTTTTTCTTATTAGAGACCAGCTCAGACTCAACCCTCAGTTTTGAAGATTTGCTGTCTCCGGAGTGCATTCTGCAACTAACTTGTCCTAGCAGAGAGGACCTCCAAGCCACCCATGGCTGTAGAGGTCCTTCACAGCCTCTCCCAGCAGATTGAGACCACTTCCTAGCACTTCTGAGAAGTTAGTGTACTCAAAAAGAATGACCAATGATAATTATAATGACATCAATAAGAATAACAAGTAATAATAATTATTAGGAAGTCAAGAAGAGAATGGGGAGAGAGATGTACAAATGGGAAACAGTAAGAAAACATGCTCATGTACAGGAAAAGGTAGTCCTTAAACATAATTCATCACTATATCCATTTTGTCTGTCCTTTCCACAGTAAATAGATCTTCTACACAAGGCTCAGGTATCATGAGGTGGAACTGGAAACTGGAGCACTGCAATGGATTTGTGCGGAAGGACGGTGACCAGTATCTCATAATTGAGCACAGTGGCAAATACTTCATCTACGCTCAGCTCCATCGCCTGAATGAAACGGAAGAGGAAAAGGCTTTTACGCTGACGCTGTACAAGGAACCAAATATCCCCCTCAACAAGGCCGGGGGGCCAATAAAGGGAGATGTTATGGCCACGGTGAATTTTGCAAGACCCTTTTCCCTGAAGAAAGGAGATAGGCTGTACTGTAGGGAAAACGTTAGTTTTGACAAGATTGCACCAGAGAATCAGAGTTATTGGGGCCTGTTTAAAATGTAGTAGGATTCTGCTCAGAGTCAACTCCTCCCTTATTTCCTCCAGGAAACCTTAGGGCACGGATGAAGAATCTGCAATTTCTCTTTGGGTGAAATTCAACCTGCTGGAGTGCATGCCACAGTTAGCTTGTATCCTACAGTGAATATCAAGCTTTGGTAATAATGGATGCCACCTGATTGTCACAAAGTATGAGGAAAAGATGCTTCTTGGAGGAAAAAAAAACTTGATGCATTATGGTGTTGACTCTGAGATCCTGGAAAAACAAGTCACTATATTCAGTCTATTCAGAGCTGGGGAGGAGCTCTGCTCTGCAGCTACCTGCATTTCAGAGCTGGGTACACATCAGGCCCTTGGCTCCCTTCTAACGAGAGGCATTATTTCAGCTAAGATGTTTTATACCCTTCCCACGCAACCTGCCAGTGAAGCAATGTGTCCACAGCAAGACAGAAACATTCTGTGACAAAAGGAAAGCTTCTCAGCCCCATCTACAGCCTTGGCACTGGCAAGAGAAACACCCCATGTTTGTGGGTACTTCAGAGCACAAGGACCTTTCCAGTGCAACACCTCTGTGCCACAGCCCAGACGTGCCCACCACAGCGAGCCTGTGGATGTGACTGATGCAGCTGCCACAAGGGATGGATCACTGCTGGCTGAGCAGCACAGACCTGCAGCCGAGTTTGCTGCATGGAGGTTGTGGAGGAGACCTAATGATAGAAAGATGCATATGAGGAGGGAGAGCACAGAGTGGAGAGAAGAGGATGGAGACTTGGAGAACTGTTCCCAGAATTTTTTTAACTGTGCTGTGTAGTGGGTGCTGCAAGCATGGCAGGGCGGAGCAGACACAGCCCTGACATGAAATGAGGAGGGGCTGAGCATCCCTCCCTAATCATCTCCTTCCCATAGACACAGCTTTGATATCCAGCACAAAGCACAGCCTGTGCCAGTACCACCGTAGGGAAAAAGTGAGCTAGCGGGGAAGCAGGACACCCTTCACCTGCTCAAGGAACCAGCAGGTGCTGCTCATTTCAAGGCCTACCTGCTGTGCTTCCCAAAATGAACACTGAATCACCTGCAGATCACAGGAACACTTCAAAACCTCAGCAAAGGCAAGGTGCTCTCAGAAAAGCAGGCTGCTGCAGCTGTAAGACAGCCCAGCTGTCCCATGATGTGGTTCCTCTCCCTTGTCTGGGCAGGCTTTCCCAGGAGCTCTCTGCTTTGCTTTTCTACCTCCTGGACCTTCACGGATGAAAACTCCTCTACCATTCCTCACAGCATGTCACAGCCTTTGGAATGGATATTATTCTATGATTCTATGATAGAAAGCAAAGCAACTGAAAATCTGGCTGGAAATAATTATTTGGGGTGGGCTGGGGCAGTTAGGGGTGCTATTTGCTCTTACAATTTTATATTCTATGTATTGTAACTGTAGGTAATAACGAAGAGTCGACTTTTTGCAGACGATACTCTTGTTCTTACATCGCTTTGTTGATTTCCCTCAGTTTAAAGTAAAAAGAAACAAAATTACAAACCGCAAGTGTATCTCAGTTCTTTGATAGGGACCAAAAAGGTAACTGACTGACGCATTTCTCTACCCTTTGTCTACTTTCACTGAACTGCCTCTCCTGCTCCGGGAGGTTGGCAGCACAGGCACGGAGTGAGTCTGGCTCGCTCTGCACAGCCCCAGGGCAGTGCCAAACTCAGTCATCTTCCCAGCACACAGGGGAGCTCCACACTGCCCAGCCCCATGAGGACAGGGAGGAGGGGGGATGCCTGCACCCAGGGCACCCCACACCCAAACACATTAAGCCTTGATGCGAGCAGGAAAAGAATAGTCAGAAGCAGGAGCTGTTATTGTCAAGCCGCAAGAACCACCCCCCTCCCTAATTACTTTCTGAGACAAAAAGAAAGCCCAAAAGGGTTTGCCAGATATGAAGGGATTCCTTGATCTGTGTCAGACCAGCAGAATCCCAGATCCTACAACACTTGGCCTGAAGATCCAAGCCAACACCCTAGTGATCAACTAAAACTAAAGAGAGTGCCTATGTCCTTGCTGGGTGCAGGCAGCAAACCCCTGGTTTTCTCAGGCAGAAGCCCACCCAGGCAGCTGCCCACTGCTGTGAGCCTAAGATGCACATCACCCACCCCAGATTTTGTTTCCAGACACCCAATCTGTGACTTCTGTAGCAATGGGGCAGATCCCCACCACGTTTCATGGCCAAGCCACCCATGGAGGATTCACTGAGGGGGCACCAGCCTGTGGGCTTGGCAGGGCTGTGGGCCCCTCTGCCAGGCAAAATAGTTTCTGTAATTCCACGAAGTGCAGCTCTCCCACCTCTCTGGCCAGAGTAAAAGCCAAATGGACAGTAGCAAATTACAGTTGGTTACATGCAATTAAATGTCCATACCATGCCTTTAACCACTGCTGTGCCAAACACCAAGGAACTGGTAACTCAAATTCAGGGAGCATCCCCCTCACGCATGGCAAACATAGATGTTAAAGAAATGTTTGTTATGATTCCACTCTGGGAATACCACAAGGCTCAATTGGTGTTCACCTGGAAGTGAGTGCAATATACCTCTAACAGACTCCCACAGGTGTATAAACATTAACTCTCAACTGCACATGCTGTGCTTGCTGATCTTCTCAGTCTCTACTCTAATCAGATGAGACCCCCTGAACAAGTATGGGAGCACCAACAGCAGTGCAGCAAACACTTCATGAAATAGAAGGTGATATCCCACATCTGAAAAATGACAAGGACCATGTAAAGAAGTAGGTGGATGGCAGGCAGTGAGGTGGTACATTCAGACCACAAGGAAAACAGAACAGCTGTGGATGCTCCAATATAGGGAATAATTACAACAATTAATGGGAACTGTATGGTACTGGAGAAAATATATACCTGGATTTTCTATCTTTGCTTGCCTATGGTATTCACTTTTACAAAGGCAAAAACCAGAAGTGGAACCCAGAACATGAAACCAAAACCCTAACAGAGGAACTGAAGATAGCAGGATGGAGGTTTGCTGAACGTAGTTCTTACTATAAAGCCTGTTCCAAACTGGCCCTGATGGGCCAGAGAGATCTTTGTTATTCAACTTGACTACATTTAAGCAGACAGAACAGAGGTGTTCTGAGTGGGAAAATGGACCTTTGTTATTAGTCCAAGCTGTTAAACAAATTGAGCCATTAAGGGATAACCTCTCCAGAGAAACCCCAACAAGACTTCTATTGTTTTCTCTTTTCAGGAAGGAAACTGAGAATGATGCCAGTACACCTCCACTTCAGATCCAGTTAACCACCGAAGGATTGCTCATCCTTTTTGTAGGAGGAATCATTGCCAGCATGAAATTTGGTTCACACATCATTAAGCTCAACGCACAGGATAGAGACCCTCACTTCTTTATTTGTGCTATCAATGTGGCAACTATAGTGCATCTTGCATCGTACAGGATTCTCAGTTGTGGGTACAGTCTGCTGTAAGAGCAACAGAGGATGAGGAGGGGAGCAATTTGCCCACTGAAATTCAAAAGGTAACTTGGGATAACTAAATTTGAAAGGGCATTCCACTCTCGGTGGTAATCACCTAATTTCACTTATGACCACACAAAAGCCACAGCTTTTTTTTTTTTAACAATACACCAGTGTAATGGGAATAAATGTAACTCCATGAGTGTCCCTTTTCCACCCTTTTTTAAATCTGCAGTGATATTTCCTTCCTTTCCACTGCCTGAGACTTCAGATCACCACCACGACTTTCCAAATACAATGAAGAGTGTTTTGGTAACTACATCATCCAGTTCCCTCATGATCCTGGGATGCATCCCATCAGACCCCATGGACTTGGGCCTATTCAGTTGCATCAAGTGGTTTCGAACCTGCTCTTTCCTCACAGTGGGAAGGACTTTGCTTCCCCAAAATGCTCCCCCTTTACATGCCTATAAAGCTCTTCCCACACTGCCCCTCACATTCAGTGGGGCCAGCATCACACTGTCAAGAAATAAAAAGAGTGTTTCAGCCCTTTCACCCTAACCTGCCAGTGTTCCTTCCAGATTTAAATGTTTCTCCTTCCCTTGCCCCTGGCATCTGAGAATGCATAGCAGGTCTAAACGACACAGTGCCCCACATACCTCAGGTTGGCAATTCTGCCTCTCTGAAAACTCTTACACAGAACTGTCAAATCAAAGCCATGCCAAAAAAATAATTCTTACTAAAACCCTCTTTTTTGGACATTTTTAAATTATCACTTGCCACTTCGAGAGCCTTTTCACTGAGATGTCAGGGTTTTGAAAAAAGTAGTGTCTTTCCCTGTGCCGTAGTGCCTTTTTAATTAAATGTGCTTTCAAACCTATGGGAAGTGTAATTTAAAGGAGAATGAATGATTCATGAGACTGACCATAGAAAGTCATGTGCCTTCAAACAGGAAAAAAAAGGGGTGTTTTTTTTAACAGGACTTGGGGATTTTCTGCTTTCTTAGAAGCTTAGTACACCGCTCAGCCTCCCCAGGATCAGAGATGTAAATGCCCCTTAAAGGAGAGATTTCCATCTCTTCAGAAAGCGGCCAAAATGTGGTCCTAGAAAAGAAATAATCAGACTTTCAAACAAATAAATACTTGAACACAAGTAGCCACTTTTCTGTTCAGCAGCTTTTCTGTTCAGCAAACAGCCCCAGGCCATCTATCACCACCACACCTCAGTACACTACACTCTCCGTAGTCAGTAGAGGTTGTTCCAGGATAATCTGAATGTTCATCCAAAAAGTGCCACAGAGCACATCAAAACCAGCACAACCTTTCCTCTTGGTAGCCAGAGAGACACTTGTGATGATGTTGCACAGACACCCACTGTTTAGGACACTGCTATCACAGGGGCTGCTCGAGCTGCTCTGAGAATCACTACCAAGCCCAGCCAGTCAGACAGGGCAGCCGTGGGCAAAGCAGTCCTGGTTTTGGATTGCCCAAAACACAGTGGTTCCTGACTAAGCCACTGAGCACTCCATGTCCAGAGCCACCATCAGCCCTCTAAGGATGGCTGAGTGATGACACATCCACCAGCGGTGCCTAAAAACCTGCCCCAGCACAGCTTCCACACACCCTCTGCTTGTGATGGTTAAATTTCTGTGCATTGAGAGCTTTTCTGCCCCTGTTTCTGTCACACAGAACCGTGTTCTGAACATGAAATACACGTTGCAGAGTAGGCATCACATGTCTCGAAAAGAAGGGGAAGTTTTGGATCAGTGAAATGAGTGGATGATGCTGTCATCTGTTCACAAACAGTGAGCCCAACCACAGAGAAAAGGTAAATGGCAACCTTCAATTCGGGTTGCTTCAAACAAACTACTGAAGATCTGATTTTACAGAGCAGCTTCTATTGTGTAAGCAGAACTATCATTACCTTCAGTTCTAACTTCTAGTGCCCAAGACTTCTGCAGCTCAGTGCAATAAGATGGTGTATTTTAGGACCCTGGAGATAAGCAAACTGGCCTTGGTCCTGGAGGGAGGATGACTACCACAGCAGAGCGCTCAGGAAAGCCTTTCTTTTGGACAACATAACCTGTGCTTTCTGGGCAAAAATTAATTGTCTCAATAGAAATTATAAATTAAGTCTGGTACCACAAATCCTGCATTGCTAATTTCAGATCCAAAGATGAGTGCAAGGGAAGTTCAAAACTGCTGAAACAGCCTGCCAAGAGAACCAGTGGAGTTGTAATTATTCCTATCCCTGCAGAGTGACAAGTGCTTTTACAGTTATATTTTTCCCCTAAATCTTCTTTAGGCAATTAAAACAGGTTCTTGTGGTGGTCTTATCCCTCTAGTTTCACAACTGAGTGGAGATTTAATGGTGCAACCCAAGAGGCCTTAGGCACCAGCTTTCTGGTGGCAAGTCACACAGCCCATGTGAGGCACAACACTTGGGTTTCCTGCTCTCTTCTCCCAAATTAGGGAAGAGCTTGCACCATACACGGCTTCCTTATCTCCCAGGCACACCAAAAGCTGCCTCACTCTGTGAGGTGACACTACTTTATGAGGAACCATCCACGTTCCAGGTTTCTCTGTGTTTTGGTACCTCCTGATTCCAGGGGTGCGTGGCATTGGCCACAGCGCTTTGGCATGTGGTAAAAGACAGCTCGAGTCATTCACAGATTTTATTCTAATAGGCAAAATAGCACCCAGAGAGGAAGAATGTATTATCAGCAGTTTAGAGATAGGGAAGAAAGGCAAAGCAAGATGGTGTGATTTCCCTAGGGTCACCACAAATGCAAACAAGCGGAGATGGGAACTGACCACGGGACTCAGGGGAAGATACAAACCAAACATCCTCATTGTGGACCGTAAGAGCAGTGGTAAGAGCACTGAGGTAATAACCCAGAAAGTACACACATGGAATAAATTCTCAATTATCTTTTTTCTTTTCTGAAGAAAACAATAATTCAGTCCCAAAACATCCTATATCCCAGAAGTGGACAAGATAAAGTTCCAAATGCCAGAAATGTGACTGTGGTGCAGCCTCGGGCAGTGTCAGCAGGC